CCACCCACACATTCAGTGTGTGTACAGACACACCTGCCAGAGAAGAAAAGTTCCTTCTGGGCCACAGAGCATGAACTCTTCTCTTTTTTCTGAGGAGGAATACCTGCCAAATTCTGCTGAGCTGGGCTGGCCGGCTGGGGTGGTAGAAAACTTCTCTTTCTCTGCGTGTCCCTGGTCCAGTTTAGCAAACTTCTAAGTTGCCAAACTTCTAACTTCTAAAGCTAAAGTTGGGCTTTGCGTGGAAATTAAGTGAGCATCTCAAATACCAAACCTAGTGTCACTTATGGACGTGCACAGCACCTGGCAGCTGTATTGCTGGTGGTTGAAGGCAGCTGAACTGCTGCAGACCCTTTCTCAGAGACCCCTGGTGCCCCCCTCCCTGCGGTCCCCATCTCCTCCAGACCATCCCACCAGTTATTTGCTCTGCTAGCAAACCGTGTCTTCAAGAAACAAAACAAGACACAGTGCTATGAGAAAGGTCACAGCAAACAAATTCTGTTTCCTTTGTTATCTGAACGTTCATGGCTTTAGTGGGATGCCTCAGTTACATTAAAAAGTGCAGCTCCTTTGTGGAAGGCTTTCGTATGCACCAGCTGATTCCCTAATCCCTTTTTTCCTCAGATTCCCTGTCTGGAAGGTGGAGATAAGCTTTTCTTGGAAGGAGGTATTGTCTTGGGAGGAGTAGTTACTGGGAAGTGACTAGTGTTAGTGTCTGGCTACTACCATTGTGAAAGCCAAACAAATCGTGGTTATAGAGCAAAATCCATTAGTCTTTGTTCATAATGGAATCAACGCACTACCTAAATCAGTTTTCAGCATCCCGCCCAATACTGGCTATCCCACGACGAGCTGCACACCTTTGCAATTTCTTTATGCTTATCATTTTTCCAATCTAAAATACTGAGTCAAAAACATCTATTAAGATTTATAAAATACACGTATTCTAAACAAATAGTAATTTGTCTTCATTTTCTTTAAGATACTCCAATCTTAGTTCAGGTTGTTAACAACTATTCGTTATTTAAGGACTATCAACCATTCCATATTAGGGATTCACCTCACCAGCTTCTCTGAAATGATCGTGTTCTTCCCACCTACGAGACACAAGGTAACAATCTTACTGACTTCCCTACAACCTTTAACTGAGCAATATTTTGTGGTGTTTAACTAATGACAGAGTAAGGTACCCATCAATTAAAATTTCCACCCATCCAGCCAAACAGTTGGTGCTAGGATATGGTCTTGGAATAATGTGTCATTTTAACCTGCACAGTTTGCAGAAATCACATACTGTACTTTCTAATCACCAACTGTGGTTTATACTTAATTATTTGAAGTTATGTTGCCTGAGTTTTCTATTATACCTTGAAAATGCACTCCTGTGAGTTCTGAGCTTTGTAGAAGAAAGCAGAATTACGTTTTCATCTTTGTTTGCTGAATATTTAACAGCCCTGTTGTGCTCTGAGCTCTCCTAGAAAGTGAGCCTCGCTAGGAAACTCAAATCCTCTGAGGACAAATTCTGTCCCTCCAACGAGTACAACCACAAAATAGCCCCGCAGAGGTCAACCTCGTGGCATCGGCTTACTGAATGAAAGCAGAATCCAATCTACCTCAGAAGTAGCTGTGAAGCAATTGTGTGGACCTTCATCTCTCTCCGTGGGGCAAATTAAAACATTTGTACTCATCAGGGTGAATTCCTTACTAGTATTGTTAGGAGATTTCTGTAAGGTTTGGGGTTTTTCAGTCTTGGTTTAAGAGAGACCTTGAATACTGAAATGTAATATGAGCAGAAGCCACAGTGATCCGATTAGCCCGTTTATCTCAAATTGCTGAGAAAACAGGTGTTGTTCTCTTAATTTCTGCTTCCTACTTGTATGTCTCTTTCTAGGAAGAAACATCAAAGGCCTACTCTCTGTTCCCACCAAATGCACGGGGCTATATAAGATGTGCTTGGGAACAAACTGAAATTCCCATTCACCACCGTTGTTTATACAAGAGGAAGAGACCAAATGTTCAGGGAAGAAATCACATCTTCATGTCATACTTTAACAGCTCAAAAATGGTGGTAATATCATCTCAATTATATCTGTACATGAGTGAACTACCAGTGATTTCAGCATTCTTCGCTGCATTACAGACTGCTTGTTTTGCCGGAGTAACCATAATAGAGAAATGCAACACTGCCTGTGCTGTGCGGCCATATATATATCACAGAGCAGTGATATATGACTAGCATCAGCTGTGGCAGTAGAACTTACTCAGCAAGATTTGTTTCTTACAGGAGTTCATGCTATAAATACAGCTATAACTACACACGCGTTCTTTACCTTAAGAATTTATTCATGATTTTTTTTCTAACAGTCAAGTGTATGAGTAACGGATAAGAAGGTAGAGTTCCTTTGAGCAGATTACCCCCATATAAACACAGTTTAAGAAATCTGGGTTCAGCTGGAGCTCTACATCACAGGTCAGAGCAGCCTTCTTTAGCACCTGAAGTGCTGAGTAGATATTCCATATTGCAATACATTGCAACGCTTGTTTGATTTGTACCTAAGAAGAAATCAACCTGTTTAGCAGCCAGGTAATTATTAAGTGCACGCTGTAGGAGATGCCGTCGGACTGATTGCATAAACCACAGACCAGTGTAACACAACACAAGCAAACCTCAAAGAAGGGTTTTATTCTTCTTTCAGAAATTTCTTTTTTTGGCAATGCCTACTAATATTTTTCTGTTTCCGCATTCTGAGTACACTGAAGTCTTAGTATTGTGCAACTTCCCTAATCTCTTCTTGTTGGCCTCGCGTTCTGGTGATTCGCATGCTAAACTTCTCATCCATTTATTTCGCGTATAAATCTGGTTGAGTAAGATGCAGGCATTGCTACAATTCGCATGAAACATACATCGTGTTATATTGACACGATGCTTTCCCAGCTTTCCCTGTAGTTTGGCGGCACACACGGCACGCAGGACGGCCGCTGGGGCAGACAGACCGAAGTGACGAGTGAACTGGGTTACAGAAACGTAGACTTACAGCATGTTTTGGGTTGGAAGGGACCTTTAGAGATCACCCAGTTCCAACCCCCCCTGCCGTGGGCTTCCACTAGATCAGGCTGCTCAGAGCCCCGTCCAACCTGACCTTGAACGCCTCCAGTGATGGGGCATCCACAGCTTCTCCGGGCAACTTCTGAGAAGTGCCGGTTCGTGGGAGCCGCAGGCCAGCCATCGCTAGAAACCGAGTGCCAGCCGGCAAACTTGGGTTTCCTCTTGCGTTTGGCAGCAGCAGTCGGGAGAAACTCCGTCTCCCTGGCTGGAAAGGAGGGAACGAGGCAGAAGGCTGCCCTCCACACAGCACGGAGCCCGCTTACTCGCTTCCTAACTTTTCCATCATGCCGTTGACACCAAAGGGACAACGTGCGGCGTTAGCACTGCGCAGCGCTCAGTTTGGCTTATTGCGTTGGCTCTGCGCTTTCTCATAGCCGCAGAAAGAAGAAAACCCGAGCAGAGAGTTACCCTCCTCATCCAAAAGCCGGAGGGGGAGAGGGCGGCGGGAAGGGCCGGGACCGGCTCCCAGGCCCTCCCGGCTGCCTTGCGCTAAGGCAGCGCGGGTCGGAACCGGCGGGTCAAGGG